GCTCTTGATGAGTGTAACATCAGGATGAGCTTATATCTTTAAAAACGTCAATATTTAAGAAAGTACAGTGAAATTTAACAAAAATCATTATTTAATATAGCAAAATTTTATTTATTTATGGTTCACAAATCACGGCAGTCACATAGTGCTAATTTTGATGTTAATTAATTTTCCACTTAATTCTAACAAATAATAAATATTACATTTTGAATTATTTACACCGAAAAGCAATCTAAAACATCACAAAAGATTTATAGACTTGAAAGCTTTAAATAAAAGCGAAATAAACTAATGAAAAAATAATAAAATTGATGGACGCAGTGATCATATTTTGTCATTGAAATTTACGAGGAAATCCGATAACCAGCAGATCGAAATAGTTGGTGGCTAGCAGATGGTGTACATTCAATTATCGGGATAAATTTGCTAGATTTGAATCGTGCATGGAATTAATTGGTTTATATCCGTTTCAGTCAAGTTCTCTGCTCAGATCTGATAAATACCCGACAGACGTAACCCTCACCATCACCCTCACAGCGATAGACAGTTATGTAAATTGTAGCGACTGTAAATAAAAAACAAATTGAATAAAATAGCCGAACGTTTAAATTTTTGACATTTTGAATTTAGGCTTTAAATAAATCCCTTCCGATCTCTTACGGTTTTGCCGAACCTCCGGTTTAAATTTGTTATTTTTCCGACTCTATATAAGCGGTACAGATTCGGATTGGCCACCATAGCGTGTACAAATGTCCGATATAATCCAATTAGAATTATATCTCCCAGTGCAAGCGTTCATGACAAAATTGTCCGTCAATAATTCCCCTCTGATATATCCTACGGATTAACAAGGATGTATTCCCACAGGAATCAACACTCGACCGATTTACGATTTGTTTAATCTCAATCTCAGTAAAGAACATTCTATTCAACGCCAATTTCTTCCTTAATCGCACCACTTCTGCTCTTTAATTTATTATTATTATTATTATTATTCTTCTTCTTCTCAACTATTAAATGTTTTAATTTCAGGATGCTCCGGAAATCCGGACGCAAAACGACTCTACGATGACCTTCTATCAAATTACAACAAATTGGTGAGGCCAGTGGTCAACGTCACAGATGCACTTACCGTTAAAATAAAGCTTAAGCTTTCCCAACTCATAGACGTGGTAATTATCGATACCGATCAATACACAGTAATTAATTAGTAACAACAATTGCCAATTCACATCAGTGGTAATTAAATTTTTACCAATACACACTTTACTTTTCAATATTGTACCTAAATTAACAAATTTAATTTAATTAATTATTTTATCAATTTTAAATATAAATATAAATATAAATGACCCAGAATATTGTCCCGTGGCTTTTCATTATAATTACTGCTAAAAAAAAAATTATTGCATTATTTACATCAATTAAACACAATTATTTATGATAGTTAAATAAATTTATAATAAAAATTTACGATACATATAATAAATATGAAAATGTATTTCTTCTTTATTACAATAAAAAAATTTTTTTTCCAGAACTTGAAGAACCAAATAATGACGACGAATCTCTGGGTTGAGCAGGTAACTACCCGTTAAAAATATCTAGTCATTGAAAGCAAAAACTAAATAAAATAATTTAAGCCCTCGTATATTTCCAACGCAAAGGATATTTAGAGCTTCACGTTATATAGCGCTTAAATTTTATTCAATGCTGGTGATATACCGAGTGGGTAGTATATACACACCAGTTTTCAAGCGATAAATTTTCTCGGGTGGCTCAAAGCTCGTTTAAAGTCGTCCAAAGAGACCTAGACAAAGATATTAAACGAGTTTAATAAAGACACCCACGTCCCAATATACCTCAGTAATTATGTAAAAAAAGATAAATTAGGACAGCCGTGTATAAGAAAGTCTTTTAGCAGCTTCAGCTTTTGGATCACTCTTGTTTCGTATACATTATTACTTTGCATCTTTATATTATCAAGAGAATAAGAAAAATTTTATCTGTAGGATATTCATATGATAAGAGATTTTTTAGTGGAACTTTGTGTCATTGCAAAGGTCTAAATTAAGAAATGACCTTGTATCTTGTGAACTATTGACACTTTTAAAGATATAAGCTCACCCTGACATTACACTCATCAAGACCTTTCATTTGGGTACCCACATCAATTTTTCATATATTTTATATATTTATATATATGAATATATGAAAAATATATGAAAAAATTGATGTGGGT